GTTCATCTAATTATTTATTTCTAAAACAAATTGTTTAAATTTCAAATGTAGTCAAATTTAAAGAGCCTGGAGTTTTTTTAATTTTCATTTAATTATCATTTCATTAAAATAATTGAAATAATTAAATATGTAAACTTGTTGTCAGTTCGTTGAGATAAATGAACAGAAAACCCTAAAATGGCCGCATTTAAATCTAATATTGCGATGAAAAGTCACGTTCTCTATACATAATATGTGCTGATGATGAATATTAACTAAACGTACTGTACGACGTATACATTCAGTGAAGCAGATAAAAGATACTTCACGAAAAATATGTGTGACTGGTTTTTGTGGTGCAGCAATTAAACGCACTTGTTTATGGCTTTCATATTAAATTGTGAAGAATTTCTCCAATAATTCGTACACATTTTGTACTACCGGGCAATAATAATAAAAAATAAAACACATGATCAAAAAACAAATAAACGAAGACAAAGAGCAGAAAACATGATCAATCTGAAATACCAAACAAAATGATCAACATCAGTTTCTGTCCAGTCCACTGGAGTCCAGTGCAGTCCAAGTCCAGTCGATCTTCTTCTCAAATGGTTAAGCGATGGTTAAGTTAGTTAGTCAAACTTTTCAACTCAACTTTTCAGAAAAAAGGTACGACGAGTGTACATTCAAACAAAAACAAAAAAATTGAATATCATCGAAATAAGAAAAAATTTTTAACATAAAAATTTAATTTAAAATAATTCCACAAAAACGTAGCAAAAGAAGGAAATGTTGCAAGCCTACACGTGCAGCAAATGCTGATGATATTTTTTACTTATTTTCTTGTTTTGTCATAAATATAAATTTTTCCTGAAATGATCATCAACGCCGATATAAAACGAACATGTTCATGTAGGTTGAGAGTTGGGATTGTTGTTGCATGTTGCCGTGGCAGCCACAGCCACTTCAGCCACTGCAGCCACTGCATCCAATGCATCCATTGCAGTTGACTGCTGCGATGCACTTGGTTGTTGGTTGGTTACATGACATGGTTGCAATTGCATTGGCTGCCACAATTTAATAAAATGAAATAAAATAAAATAAAATAAAATGAAATGAAATGAAATGAGAGTATAAAATAAATAAATAAACTTAAACAGATAAAGTTAAGTACACCGAAGGCAAGAGATGAAAAGAAGTCGAGATACATTTCATTTTTATGGTTTGCGCAATGTGGTGTAAAGCAAAATGTACAGTTTCTGCGATTGTCTTAACCGAGATCGTTATTTTAAATTGATCATTTTGTGGTCTCTGTATTTAAACGTCGATCTTGTTTGGATTTTTTCTGTTTTTTTTTTTTTTTGTCTTACATATTTTATTATATATCTATAGAAAAAAAATTGTGTTTTTTGTCTATCTTATAGTGTCTATTTTACGTTGTGCTAACGAAAACGTGCACTTTTTGCTCGTGCATTGAAAATAATTGCAGTTTCTAGTGGCAAAATGTTTAAATGGCAGTTAACAAGCGCATTTAATAAAACATTATTTTGTCTTTAATTGAAGTCGAAGTTGGTGAAGCCAAAGTTTGTAAAACCACAGTTTGTGTAGCCAAAATGGAGTGGCAACTCAAAGACTTTTGGAAATGACCAAATGACCAGCAGTCACTGACTGGATTTTCGATATATAAAAATACTATAGCATTCTACATTAAATCGGCAATTAAATATTTCATACTATAATGCCTATTACATATGTACGAGTATTTATTGCTTCGTCAGTTAATCTCTGATTTTTAAATATTTATGAAGTTTAATTTGCCTCAAGTGTAATAACTCAATTTCATAAATATACACATCACGCACACAAACAAACACGCAAATCGAAGGAATTTATCCATATGTAAGAATTATATACAATATTTTATCATATGGTATACCTATGTACGTGTATATATTTATACATTAAACTCCCATAAAATCTGTTATTTAAAGTCATATAAATGTAATTACAAACTGCTTACAAAAATACATTGCGTACTGTGGTCCAGAAAAGTTAATACATCAGTTTTGGTTAATTATTAATGTTTACTTTTATTAATAAATAAAAAATGATTGAAATTTTTATTATAGATATTATAAATAATAAATAAATAATTAAATTAATCATTTACTGTTTCTAAATAATATTTTTAATTTATAATATTTTTTGTCTAACAATATTTTTTTGTACGGAGATTTAAATAAATCCGCAATTTTTCGACTATTTTCAAAACATAACTAAAAAGTACTATAAAGTTTGCTCTATGACAAGAAATCTATTTTGAATAGAAACAAAAAGGCTCATTTAGACAGTTCGCTTATTAAGATTGCTAATAAGAATAATAATGTTCTTTCTTATAAATAGCTCATTAAAAATAAATCAACTAATTACAGGCCAAAAATGTCAAATCCAACCCTTAGAATAAATTTCCCACAAAGAAATTATCAAAATTTTAAATATTTGTCAACTGTTTATGTGAAATTAAACAAACAAGCTAAATTGTTTAATTACGCATATGAACGTAAATTAGTTAAGGCATATGGAAACGACCGAATCTTAATTACATTAACATAATTAGTTTTAGCAGTAGTAAACCACAGTAGTAGAAGTTTTAGTTTTAGATATAAGTCTTCATTCTGAGACATCTGAGGCATCACTTTTGAGTTGCACATATGTTTTGTGGGCGACTGAAAAAGAGTACAGATGATATTTATTAAAATTTAATAACATTATTTTAATCAGTGCAGAGATTATACTGCTTTTGGTGAGAGCAGTCATGTAATTTATCAAATAATGTTTGAAAGAGGTTTCCTAATAAATATTATTTTTAGATTTTGAAAAATATTATTAAAGCCATATAGTGGTTTGACAAGCTTATAGAGAATCCGCATTAGGGAAGACAACAATTATTTAAGATATCATAAGGTAATATGTTTACAATTTTACACGAATAGTTCAGCACGATTAAGTTGCTTTCGAATAAGATGGAACCTTTGCTTACACTAGATTTAAAACAAACATATTTCTTTTTATATATCGAAACCTATTTCTGGGATGCCACGATTTGACATGAGAACAACTTTTTGCGCTGTGCTTTATATGTCGATATGACTGAGTTGTCGATATCTAGTATGTTAAAATTTTACATACTAGTAAAGGGTAGATGTCGCAGTTCTTGTAAGTAAAATCAATGTGAAATGTTTTCAACTTTAAACGCGATCTCGAAAAGTAAGGTATGTTTGCATATAAGCATATGATTTGCAGAAAAAATATTCAATATTGTATATTATTGCTCAAAATAATCATCTGTCAAATTTGAGCACAACAGAAATAAAAATTGTATATTTTATTAAGTTATATTAGCAAAATTTCTCAAAATGACATCCCATGACCTATTCAAAGTTCAAATTCTCAAAACACAAACAGTTAAATAATTAATTAATTAATTAAGTACTTCATTTACATTCCACTGTGCAAGTCAACAAATTTTTCATTCAATTATGCATGTTGCACTGATACATATGCTTGGTTGTACCATAACTTTAGCGTTGCACTGTGCGCACTCATGCACCGTAGTTGTGTTGTGATATTATCGGTTTGAAACTTATCTTGTGCATTTTATTGGCTGCATAACTGCACTGCAAATGTTAAGTTAAATATTATGAGCATTTATTATGTTATAAATTTGGCCTAAAGGTATTAACAAATTTATGCCGACACGCATAAAGTGTAAAAGCATTTAATTCTCATTTTTAATGGTCAATAAATGGAGTTAAAAATAATTTCAAAATAAAATTATTATTAAACAAATAATAAATTATGAAATATTATGAGAAATTAAACGATTTAGGCTTACAGCAAAATTACAATAACAACAAACTGATAAAATATTTATTTTCTTTCTCACTATATCTTTCTCTATCTCAATGACTTGAGGTTATGTAGTAGATCATAGAGATATATATCGTTTAAGTACTTATCAAAATTTTAATTAAAGCTTTGTGTTATTTTATTGTTGATACTCAATCGTATGTGTATAGTTTATATGAAAATTGGCTTAGAGATAATTATATATAGTATATATAAGTGTTATATTATTGTAATATATACTTTATTTAAGATTATAAAAAGTCAACAAGACTTAGTCTCTCATCTAGAATAGAACACTGACCCTTAAATAGTACTTTTCATCAACTCGGAATAGAAGTTATTGCTTTTGAGTCCTTTGTCTTGTTCCAGCAAAAGGCCTGATAATTCAAAAAATTAGGACTCGATGTCTTCTCTCATTTCGAAGGAAGACGACCACTCATATTGATGTAACGTACATAGTTCATGGAGGTAGTATTTAACATTTTAAAATCACCATCATTGTGGATTCACCATCATTGTGGATTCAGATTTATCCGGTCTATGCGGATCTAGGGATACTAACATAACCACAGTCGAAGTCTGAACTAGGGATACTAATCTAATATACTAGGAATACTATTAGGGATACTAATAAATGGTCCAATATTTGAAAATTATATTACTATTTTACTTATTAGCCAAGTTAAAATTCAACACTGAAATTCAGCAATTTTAAGCTGATACTAAGTGTTATAAGGAAAGAAAGTCTATTGTTGATAAAAAAAAACACAAGAGATCTTTATAGGCTGACCACAGTAATTACTAAAGCGGTAAAGTAGCTATAGTAAATCCACTATTGTGACCTATAACGGAGCAAGTGGTCAAAATAGCAATTCCACATAATATTTAATATCGCAGCTACAACCGGACTTGGATATGTAATAGAACGACTTAGTTGAATTTAAAAATAGATTATAAATTTTAGTAAAATCGGGTATTGTAAATATTAAGTCGCACATAAGTCTAACCAGAAGCAGTACTCTTTAAAGTCTACGAGTTATTATTACCTAAAAGTATATACCAAAATTCATAATTTGTTGTTGTCGCCATTTAAATTTATTTATTAATTAAAGGTTTACATTACTAGAATATAAAATTAATTATAATTTTCCATATTTTCTCATTGCAGGTACAAATGGCCTCAGAAGACGTGGTCGCCAAACATACACCCGCTATCAGACACTCGAATTAGAGAAAGAATTCCACACCAATCACTATTTGACCCGCAGACGAAGAATCGAAATGGCCCACGCTCTCTGCCTAACAGAACGACAAATAAAGATCTGGTTCCAGAATAGACGAATGAAATTGAAAAAGGAAATCCAAGCGATCAAGGAACTCAACGAGCAAGAGAAACAAGCGCAGGCGCAAAAGGCAGCAGCAGCAGCCGCAGCAGCGGCGCAAGGGCAGCACATAGGCGATCAAAACTAGGAAAAAATTTCAACACATTATTCTAATAGTAATAATATGATTAATTTTATTAATAATAATTATAACACAAATAAAAGAAACTATTTTAATGCTAATTATATTAGTAATGATACCGAATCGATATACAATAAAAATCTAACAACAAAGAGTGCCGATGGCATTGCAAACTTCAGATACGTATAAATTAAAATTAATTATTTTTAAGTAAAAAACAAAAAAAAAACAAAGAACAAAAAACAAAAACAATGAACAAATATGCAAATAATTGTGACATAAATTAAATAAAATTATAAAAAAAAATTGTATTTAAAATTAAAAAAAAAATTACAAACCCAGAAAAAAATTAAAAATTAAAAAAGAATTTAGAAACATAGAAAGGCTAAATTATTTTTGAACTTTTTTTATGCTTTTCCTTAATTTATTGCTTATAAAGTTTAATTTAAAAAATTTTTCATTTTTCAAAAAAAAAAAAAAATTATAATTAAAATAATAATAAAAAATAAATTTAAATTAATTTCTTGTTTTAAGTGTAACGTGTGCAAAATATTTTAAATTATTGTTGGAAATTTACTGTTGTTAATGATTTTTATTTTATTTTTAAATTAAATTAAAAATTTACCGCTGTAAATTAATTAATAAGTAGTTCGATATTAAATTGTATTATATTTTGTTTAATGTTAAGTTTAAATTTAATTATAGTTTTAAAGAAAAACGAGTTAATTTTTAAGTTTTTTAGTTTTGTTGCAGCCGTTGTTGGGCAGGCAACCGCGCTACTTAAATATTAATTTTAATGAAGTTAAATTGAGATTATAATTAAGGTAATTAATAACAAAAAATACGAAAATTTTAAAAATAAATAAATTATTTTATTGAACAAAGTATAAATGCGCGTTATTATTGTATTAGCTTTAATTTTAATAATAATAAAAATATTTATTGCTATGCAGTTTGAAGTAGTGAAGAGTCTTTAACGAAGATAATTATGATAATGATAATTATTATTTTGTGCTAGAAATGCGCGTGATCTCGTACAATTTAAATTTTAGTACATGAATTAAATCTGACTTCATGAACTTTTTTAAAAAACGAACTATGTGTTTAAGATAATTTTTAGTTTTTATTATTAAAAAAAATTTTTTTCTCTCTGCTATTTTGCTATTTTGTATATTATTTTTTACTTTCTAAATTAATTATTATTATTTGTTTTAACAGCAATGAAATTAACTTAAACTTATGCTAATAAAGTTCGGCTTTAAGTGTTTGTATTATAAATAATTTAAGGTGCAATATTTTTGTGTTTATTAAAAAAAAAAATAAAATAAAAATAAACAGTAAACATACTATAAGAAAAATAACTAAAATACTAATAAATTAAATTAAAAAAGTAAAAGTTAATTTAAAAAACAACTACAATTGTATAGAGAGTGTATTGTGAAGAACAGATTTTGTATAATATCCATATTGCATACATAATGAAAAGAACCAATTCAAGTTCAAATAAAAAACGTCCCAAGAACTAAACTAATATATAAATACATAAAAAAATAGATAAAAATCTTTACACTTTTCAAATTTTTAATACGAGGAAATATTGTTTAAAAGCTTCAAATGTAATTATTTACAAAATTCTAGTATAGAGAAAATGCCATTTAACTTAATTTTATCTAAGTTTTTTTTAATTATCATCAAATACTGCACTTCTTTAAAGTGAATTCTTCAATTGGAACAAATTATTTTTTAATTTATATTGCATTTTTTATAAAACTACAATATAGTATAAAATTATAAGTCATTTCTTTGCTATCAATAATTTTTTATTAATTATGCTCGTTTTAAAAAAATATTATTATTAAATTATTGCATTCTGTAAGGATAGTTTTTTTGGAGGATCAATACTTCTGCAAACATAAAATAAAAAATTTATTATATATAATACTTATATATAATAAATAAAATAAATATATAAATTATTATATATAATACATATACATAGTAATTATTGCATTATAATAGTTCAGAATTGTGCAACAAAAAAATTAATTAAACAATTTATGATAACCATTTTTTAACAATTAATTTTTGGAATATTACATATATTTTTAATTTATCTTAATTTTTCATATTATAACATTAAATATATATATTTCTTTTTTTATTTTTATTCTTTTAGTTTTAATTTTTTTTTGCTTATATTTTTTTCCTATTTTACTTATGTACATTTGCTTATATATATTTTATTTAATAAAAGCTATTATTTTAATTTTTAAAAATAATCAGTTATAATTTTTAAATATTTTATATTTTTTTTTTAATATCTGCTTTGTTAAATATTTTTTTTTGATTTTGGTAATATCGCTAATGTTTGTTTTAGCACAGAATATATTTCACCAAAAATGTTATAGTTATAATTTTATATAAATTTATCTTTTTTATATTATATTTACTTTCTAACACTTTATTTGGTTAATATATATACTGAGTTTGTTTAACAAAGTAATATCACAATTATTTGAAATTGTATACATATAAGAGATTTTTGAATTATAATTCTTATTCTATTATTATTATTCTATTATTCGAAAATTTTTTTTTTATTTTGTATTTTATTTCTTTTGTTTGTTTTTTATTATTGCTCTTTTTTAATTTTTTTTTGTTTATACTACTTTCTTCGGTAAAATTAGTGAGTATTGCAAAAATAATAATATATTAACAAAAATAATATAGTTTCAATTTTATAAGAACTAATTCTGTGTTTAATTACATTATTTAGTTATATTTACTTCAATTAAATTATCTTCAATTTTTTTGATTTCGATGGGACCCTTTATATAAAGATTGCTTTACAGAATCATTATTATAATTTTTTAAAAATTATTATTGATAATTTTTATAATAATATAAATTTATATAAATTATAATTATAAATTTATAATTATTAAATAATTATTTTCATAGTTTTTAAATATCATATTTTTTTTGGTTTTGTTATCTCTTAATAATTGTTTTTAATACAAATTATCATGAATATCTTTAAATAATTTTTATTATTATATTATTTTTATATCTCCTTATATTTTATGAAACAGGATGGATTATCTGATTCACTGTGTCTTCAGGCTATTAATAATAATATTTTTTTGTTTTAATTTAAACAAAATTTGTTTAACAAAATCTTTTTAAAATTGTATATAATTGACACTAAAATCTTTATTTAAAATATATGTATTTTTTTTATTATATATAATTTTTAATTTTTATCAGTTATATTGCTAGGAATCTGAATTAATTTATGATATTAATTTAATTTAATTTATGAATCATGATTTATGATCAATTTTTGATTATGATTAACTGAATTTATGATTTATAATATAAATGTAAATTATAAATTATATTATAAATAATTGCTGTTTTAATTAAAGTTGTATATTATGGATTTCTAAATCATTTTTTTAATATTATGTTTTTTATAAACTAATTTTTAGTTGGTAAGAATTAAATTACTGCTAATTGCTATTATATGATAATAAATTATTAATAATTATTTAATTTGGTAGCCATTATAACTAAATTGTTGGATAGATAAAAATTCATTTAATTGTTGCCATATTATATTATTAAATTTAATTAACAAGTAAATAAAAAGTTTATTCGGGGTATTTACTCTCTTTATGTATTACGTCCAGAACTTTATATATCTCTAAAGATATCGTTGTGCTACGTGTCAAAATAATAATTAATAATTAATAATATGTTCTTGTTTCAAAAAAATTAAGTTAATTAAATAATACTATGTTAATAAGATTCTAACATCGTTTCCTAAATTTTAGTACATATATAGATTTTTTAATAGATTGCAGAAGTATTATTCTCCTTTCGTATATCACAATATTTATATTTATTGAAGAGAAAAGAAAATATAAAAAATTTAAATATTTTTTAACTGATTTAAAAACGGAAGATAAATGATTTCTTATTAAGTTTATTAAATATGATTTAACAGAATTATTTGGTTCCTCCAACAAAACCGTTCATTAGTTAACATAATTCGTTTTGAAATATTATTTTTAGTTTATTTTTAATCAAATTTTATATAAAAAATTTGTCGAAATTGAATTTAAACCAGTGTCAAAAAAAAAAAAAATTTCTACAGTGAAGTGAGTTTTAAAACTTTATTTTTAATAAAATAAATTTATTAAATTTTTTTTCTAATCTAATTGATTTCAAAACAAATATTTTTTTTTGTGTGATTAAAAATACTTCAATATTTTGTTGGGTTTTTTTTATAATATAGTGAATTTAATATAAGCTATTAATTATTAAATTTTTTTAATACTTTTTTACAAAATTTTTATTCAATTTAAAAGATTGCTATATATTTTCGATTAAACCAAAAAATTCAAAAGAATATTAATTAATGCAATAAAAATGAACAAAATTTTTTCATTTATTTTTTTATTATTTTAAAAATTAATTTTGATATTCATATATGGCGTTTTCTACACTCATACACTTAATACGCAAATGGCTATTTCAAACATTAAAAAAAATTAGTTTACTTTAATTAAAAATGTTTATAATTAAAATCTTAAAAATAAAATAAATAATAAATATTTTCTGTAAAAATTGTACGGCATACATTGGAAGTATACTTTTAGATGTAATAAAAAAAATATTGTTTGTATATTAAAATTAAAAAATAACATAAATTTTAAAACAAAATATTTAATGAAAAAAAATAAAACAAGAAAAAAACTTACAAAAGCTATATACAAAAATTGTTTAATTTAAAATAAAAAAAATTAGGCTTAATTAAAAACAAAAACAATATAAAAAAGATATTGACAACAAACTTTGTGCAAAGAATGTATACGTAAATAGTATTTAAGATTTTAAAGATAAATAATTATTTAGTTATACAAAAACTAAAGTAAAATAAATATATAAATAAGAACAAAAAAGAAAAAGAAATAAAAAATAATTAGAAAAACAAACTGACGAAAGCAACAAAATACGTAAAAAAGTGCATATAAATTAAGTGTAATAAAGAAGATTTGAAATTATATTAAAAAAATAAAACAAAAAAAAACAAAAGTTGATATGTGAAACTAAATACGTAAAAAAAACAATAATTATAATATTTATAAAAATAAATAACTTTAAGTATATTTTCAATAAATAAAAACTTTACTGTGCATATTGGCTTTTAAATAGAACCCATCT